GAAGAAACGAGAACTAAACTGAATGACCTTTGTTTTACTAGGATTGCACACTAACTTATTGATGGTGTTCTATTCTATGATTTCACTAATACACTTCTGAAGGGTGTTGAGGGCAGGACGTTGATCATGAGGGTCGATTTTTACATAGAGTTGAGAGTCATCTGCGTAGAACATACAATCTAGGTTATGAGCAGAGATTATGTCTTGAATAAGTGCTGTATAAAGAATAAACAAGAGAGGACCGAGTATCGAGCCTTGCGGAACTCCAATTCTAATCTTTGATCGCTAGATGTTGTGTTACCAATAGTAACAGATTGTATCCGACCAGTAAGACAAGACGAAAACCATCTTAGCACTGTGTGGGAAAAACCGAAATATCTACTCAGCCTATCCAAAAGTATAGTGTGGTCTAGGGTGTCAATGCAGCTGACAAATCAAGCATCACTAAACCAAGATCTTGCCGACAATCTTCAGTCCTAAGGACGTCACTCATTACTCGCAGAAGAGCAGTCTCGATGGAGAGATGTTTACGATCGATAGGCGCGTTGCATAGAAGGCATTAATAAATTTTCCTCCAAGTATAAATGTGTCTGAACCGAGACATCCTTCTTAATAACTTTTACTAGGAAAGGTATATTGGCTACAGGTCGGTGATTTTTTAAAACATCAAAGATCATTGTCAAGATCTGGCTTCTTCCGTCAGGACTGGACAAATCAAAGATTGTTTAAGCGCAGAAGGGAATTCATCAGAGGTTAAAGATTCGTTGACAATAGCTGTTATAACTGAACCTATGGCGTCGAAGTAATCAGTCTTTAGAATGTGATTTAGTACTGGATCGAGTGAACAAGACTTGCTCGAAACTGATCTGATAATTTGTTTAACCGTATCACAACTTAAGATCTCGAACTGTGATTTGCATTTTTCAAGCCGTTTGTCAATTTTTACGTGAATATTTCATTATCGTTGCGCAACGCGGCAAAAATAGATCAGGTGACAAGTTATTTAAAAAGCTAGCAGTTCTTTACGCAACCTACATTTCAAAAGTGTCACCACCGCGATCGCACATCGAAGCTTACTAGCCGCATACGGAACACAAATTGTAAGTATAACATTTGCCCGTCGCTTCAACCGAAATTAACATATGTAATAACCTTCTTTGTAATATTAATTTAATATTTCTGTTGACTACTTCTTTTTCTTCTACAACTAAAACTGCAAATAAATTCCATGTACGGTCAAGTACGCGAAAATCAGTTTGTGGTGACTGATCTTCAACATAAAGTAGCCCTTCAAACACATAAGCGAATCAAACTTCGAAAATAAGTGTGAACATCTAACAGAGTCATTAGCTACAGGTATAGCATGATATTTAGAAATTCCCTCTAACTCACTCCTGAGGTTCCGAATCCTAGGTACATAACAGTAATTGAAATTTTCAGACAAGGAATCCAGAGAATCATAGATGGTTGCATGGTAAAACCGGTGATCCTGAGGTGAACAGTCGATAATAGTTTTAAATAGCCTGTGGTTACCTACTTGGTCAATTTTGGCTTTGAAGTAATCTGACTTTACTGAATCCAGCATGAAAAGTTGTCTATGAACAGTAAGGTGGGATTTCCTAAACATTTTGTCCAGGCGACGCTTCTCACGTTTAGCGACTAAACCAAGACGCTCTCGGTCTATGGTGGATAGTGAGTAGAATAAACGTTGTATGTTCAGGGCTGTATTATAATCCTCAACCGAAACATGCAGGTCCTTTTGTATTAGCAAGTTGTTGGACAGCGTTCAATAAATCAGAGCTGAACTTATCAGAGTGAAGATTACTGTTATAGCTTGGTAATTAACAAGGACTTTTGAAGGTGGCGGCTTTAGGCAGTTTAACTTGCACACAACAACACTATGATCAGTGTAAAACATCATTATGTAAACCGCTTACAAAAATCGTAAGTGCAGACACTCAACTGAATTCCCTAAGTGGACCACTTAAGTAATTAATGCAACTACATGTACGTATACCCGTAATTGTTACGGACGTTTAAAGCAACCGGGCCCAGGGGCCCGTTTCTCGATTGTCTCGGTAACTTTTCGGGCCCAAAATCGAATATTCAAATCGAAATTTAAAGAATAAGAGCGCGGGTCCTGGTGGACAAACTACTCCATTTTGATTCATTAAACGATAGTTTTATCAGATTAGATGCAAAACTATTGAAACCTCGATCTTTAATGTAAAGGGAGACAGCATACCGGGCCCGTTAATTATCGGGACTTTCGAGAAACGGGCCCCTGGTCACAAATTTAACCCGCTATCAAGGCATGATTACATTTTATTATTGAATCTAAGCTGCCACATAGCCCTGGTATGCAATCTCCCAGTGAGGCACATGCAGTTAGCTTTGATATCTTACAACTTTCCTGTATTACGCTTTATACCAGAAATACTAAAATCTGTGAAACGTTGGTTAACTTTCGTTTTTAGTTTTCTATTTTAAACATTAATCATTTCATCATATTGCCCATATTTTACTTTTCTCCTAAAGACTAGAGTGGTCAAGAGAAGGGGGATGCCAAAAAATTCTGTATGATACGGGGGGATATGAAAAAAATTCTCCCCTTTAAAGAACATGCCCTCCTCCCAACACCCTCCTCCCCACCCCCAACAGTGCGTTATAAGGCAATTCAACCTACTCACCTTAATAAAATGAATCAAATTTCAATACAGTATTAATTTTCTGTCCTATAATTTCCGATTGCCTCGTCAGTAAAAAGGTTAAGTCAAATCATTATAATCTATTGACATTTCTTGTTTGCACAAATGGTGTCAAACATTTACATAATAAATTTCTGTGGAAATGAACATATGGTATAAAGCAAATGATTTCAAATGATTTATCACGCTTATTTTTACATTCTCTTTTACAATCTTGCTTTGGTATCTGAGAAAAATGGTTGGAAGATGAATGTTGATCACAGAAGCTGTAGCTTATAGGGACTAATGAAAATAGAGGTTTAGTGGCGAAGAGTTGCGGTGCGGTAGTGGGCGTGATCGGATTTCCCCTTCAAGTACGATACCCAAGAACTCATGCACATTTCGAGCGTTAAACTTAATATGCAAAGCAAATCATGCGTAAATGTAACAGAGAAATACTTCAGTGTAGGAAATTTTCCACAGTCACGTTTCTATTCTTCTCGGGAAGGGAGGGACTTTAGGGGTACCGAGCTCAACCCTCAAGCCAAGACAACAATGACAACAATAAACGAAAATAGTGGAAACCGCGATTAAAGCCATGGCCGTTCTTTTGATCGTGGACAACCCACAACGAGTGTTATTTTCAGGCAAATGAAGTAGTGCTATTTAGTCACATTCATCCTCTAAAATCTTGAACCAGAAGTATTTTAACGTCCTTAATTCCCTCGAGGGTTATTGAATGTGGTCAACGACTGGAAGTAGGGATTAGTTAGACCGTGTAGCTTTAAGGTGATTCCCTGGTTTTGCACTGCGCATCTCTTACTGCGCATAACAAGATGGCCGCCGTAAAAAAGAGCATGTGAAGTAACATTATTAAAATGAAGTTGACTGAAGAGAAACGCTATTGGAATTTTTGCTTGCAGTTGTTTCTTGCCGAGGTGAGACTCAATGTGTTGGGAAGGTGCATAATGTAAGCAGTACGCGTGTTGCTGAGTTCGACTTCCTCACAGAGAACCTCGATAGTGGATGTTTAACTTGTGCTTACTCACTTTGATTTTCAAAGAAGCGCTTTCCTTATCACATTGTGTCCTAAATGTGATATCTCGATGTAAATTCTGAAAAAGCGGATTTTATAATACTTTCTTCCCCCTATGACATACATTCAATTTTGAAACTCGCCCCAGTCCTCTCTCAAAAATCGGAGAAAATGCATTTGGCGCGCACTTTCTCCAGCTCTACCGCAAAAACGGGCACGGTGACCCCCATTTTTTATTTCATGATTTTAATAAGGACAGTGCTTCCTTTCGATGAGAAAAAAATTGGCACAAATCTATGTTCAGTTTTTTGGCAATTTTACTAAATTGTACGGATTGAGCTATCACGGATCGTAAAGCGCGCGTTTAATTTAGTTCTACTTTGGAGCGTAAAGCAAAAACAAGAGCATTAAAAGGCATCTTTCTGGTACGTAAGTGGATAAACAATACATTTAAGTCAAATTCTGTGCGATACCACATGCATCATCGAAAAAATCTCTCCTTTTTGTCTAGTTTTGGGCTGCGCGCGGTTTTTGCCACAGGGTCCTAAATAACCGTATTTGTCAGCATTGTGACGTCAAAATGAGCACGGTGACCCCCACTTTTTATTACTTTTTTATCATCTTCTTGACTTGAATCACCTTAAGTAGCTTTAAATACCCGTAAAACGAGCACTGGCGGAGAGGGAACGGTGAAATAAACGCAATGTCGACCTTAGGTTTCGCCAGTTGAAGTACTGTTATGAGTTACCAACTTAAGAGAGGAACCTTTACCTAGAACCTCTTTCCCGACGTCGTAATAAGGAAAAAGAAAAATACAAATTGGCGCAAATAATGGTTAATCGAGGCTGCAAAACAGCAAAAAAAACATTGTGCACAATGTTGCATAAAAATTCACTTTTAACCTACATGTTTAGCCGCCAAATTTGAGTTTCTAGTGTTAGAATGTCTTCAGAGTATTATATAAATACTGAAAGGTGTTATGTGTGGTTCTAGGCAGATTGATTGCCAGATTTAAGATATACTCTCATCACGAAGTTTGAATCAGAAATCTCACTAGTTCGCTGCGCTCACTCTTCCGATTTCGAAAACACGTGCTTTAATTTAATGAATCTATATATTTCAAAACTGGTCTATTTATCGTATTAGTACTAAATGTTTTTTTCCCCTACACTGTTGCATTTATTGGTGATAAACTTCATAAACATATAACAACATGTACACTTTTATTTAATTTATAGATTTTTAGATCTAAAATGTGACATGCTGTTCCAGAGTGTGGGCCGGTATTGCTTGCACTAGCTCGGTGTTGGATCGCCACAGGCTACAGGTACTGAGAACAAAACAAAGATTAACATGAGAATAGTGTTCCTTTGCATCACAATTCAATCAACTGGCAATTGCCAAAAATCATCAAACACTGGTTTGACTATTGGTACAAACATAAACGACAAACAAGAAATCAACCCAGCATCAAACACGTACCAACGAATAAAAATTAAGTCGAAGGTCAGTCTCAAAGACAGGCCAGTGCTAACTCACATTTAACCTTGAACCCCGCAGGTACCCTTATCTTTTTCTAGAATATTATTTAAGGACAATATTACGAGTAAAGTTTTGGCAATATTCGTAAGCTCACGAAAGCTGTTTATATTACAAGATAGGCAAGAGCACAGAAGCTTAACTCTGACAGCATCTTTAAAGCAACTGGGCCAGGTTGCTAGTGCACTTACAATCCTTCACCCTGATAAGGCAATTTTCTGTCCTTTTTTAGAAACAGAGAGACACATCAAATCGTCTAGACTACTCACCCTCTCCCCCTAAAGTAATGCTTTTATGAGATCAGTGGGCAAACAGCTCAACAGCTAATGGCCTAGTTTGAAATGATTTGATTGGTCCAGCCCAACTTAGATGTATCTTTCATTCACTTCGCGTGCTTGCAGTGTCATTACATTTGATAATTTCACGCAGCTGAAACGTGTACCTAGTGCAACACGTATGCAGGAGTTTTCACGTATCAGCTACTGGGGTATTGACAACCAGAGCATAAACTAATAGCTTCCTTAAAGATTTTATGCGGGTTTAGCAAGACTAATTAAGAGGGTGGAACGTGACACCTCTTAGCCTCTCTGCTTCTTTGTCCGTTCCTTGTCTCGATCCCTTCATTCTCGCACTGACATTTTGCCCACTTGACTAGGGACCTTAGGATCCGACAAGGACGACGGCAACGAGATTTTCCAAAAAAAGGAATATAGGTTTCTAAGGAAATGAGTTGGAATAATCGCGATGAAGATTGAAAGAACGAGAGTTGCCTTTTTAAGTGACGTTTAGGGGGCCTTCGCCTTCTTTGGATTTTAACGTCTCTAATGACTACAAAGAGACTTCTTGTAGTCTCAAGCAGGGCAATCCGGTTAAACGGTTAAAACACGTTTTCTAAGCTGTACTTGATATCTTACTTTTGCATTTGCATGTTACTGCAAAGTGCGTTATGTCTTGGTCTTGGTATATCGGTACTGAGTGAGGAGGACATTGTACATTGCCTATCTCAGGACAAAATTTATCATCGCACGATATATGGCGACGGCGGCAAACACAGATGTCCGTACAATCCTTCACAAAGACTTCCCAATCTTTATAAACCTTGTTGGTTACTGAGTCAGTGCAATCATCTGTTATACCCCACTAAAAAATGGAAAATGTTTTGGTTATATTTCTAGGTTGTTTTTTTATTATTATTATTATTATTATTATTTATGTATTTCTATTTATTTATTTTTTCATGATACGCGTTTCAACGTAAACGTCCTTAGTTTGTAAAACAGATAACAAAAGTCATTCCCTGAAACATTTTTGTATTCAAAATAATCTGAAGATTCGTGGTAGTGCCTACGAATCCCGACCACGTAGTTATGCGTCGAAAAAAGTACGACCAAATAAAGTAAACATGTTACATCATTTTGCTTTGTGGAATTTTTTAACGCTCGGAAATTCGGCATGGGATTTTATTGGGGTTAATTTCTGGCCAGTGATTTGTTTGGGTTTTGCTGGAGGACTACTCAAACAATACTACTCAAACTAATCTGGACAAGCTCCAAGCAGTACAGAATTTCGCTTGTCGTATTTTGAGCGGCGCTAAAAAATTCGATCACATAACTCCTTTGCTAAAAGACTTGCGCTGGCTACCAATCAGGCAACAACTTTATTTTCGTTTTGCTGTTCTGGTTTTTAAGTGCATGACGAGTTGTGCTCCGGAGTATTTGACATCAAAGCTCGTTGGAAGATCCGCCGTCTCGACAAGGAATACGAGAAATTCTCAACTTTTGAACATACCACTCTTCCGCACTGCCAGCGGCCAAAGGACCTTTCAATATAGAGCAACCTCTCTCTGGAATGAGTTGCAGCCTGCGCTCAGACTTAGCCCATCCGTGACGGAATTCAAGTGTTTACTCAGGCAAAAGCTTCTTAATGACTGCTTTATTTAATTAATTTAATTAATTTTATTGACCTTTGTCTTCTTTTATCATTGTCAGATTCTTATTGTCATGTACTTGGTTTATAATTTTGTAATGTAAAATTGACTCTGAAAAGCCCCGTGGGGACGAGCCAATAAAGTATGTATGTATGTATGTATGAAGACTAAGGGTTTTTTGGGTTTTGATTTTTGCCCCCGTTCTGTCATCCCCGTCACTTGATATTCGGAGTCCCCACCCCCACCCCTACGTTAGGAAAACTTTGATTATAAGCTCTTGCCTTTTGCAGCGCGACGTTTCACAAAAATGACCAGAAATCTATACGTGGAATTTTGACATCCAGCCGATCTATCAAGCCATCGGTCTCCACTCTTGGTAAAAGAATACGCGCTTCCAAAGCAATTCACAAAAATTAAGAAGAAAGGGTTAAAACTGACGTATATACTTACGCCAGCGCGAGCGTCTACTGACTTGCTAATAAAAGCAAGAAGGGCAAAATGGCAAAAGACGGTGATGATTCCTTTTTCAACCATCCTGAAAGAATACAAAGGAAGAAGAATTACAGACCCCCTCCGTAAACAAACACTGTAAATTTTCAGGATTCGTGCTCTGGTACGTACTAACACCCAGCCGGGGACACTTGCAAAAACGCAACTGCGGCCTCAGTGAATTTGCGTGATCGAACGTGCGACCCAAGCGCAAAATGGCTCAGTATTTTGTATGTATGTATGTATGTAAATCTTTATTTAAACACGGGAAATCATCAGTTAAGCTTAAGTTAAAAACTAAAACTAATTACAACTGCTTTACATGATTGCCGTGTGGGAATCCGATATATCAGCTACCTTCTTGATATTTCGCTTAAAATGCTCAACGGATGCAGCGTTTTTTAAGTTTTTGGGCAAGTTATTCCATAACATGGCCCCGCTGTAAGAGAAGCTTCGTTTCAAATAATTGGTGCTTGGTTAGGACAAGGTCAGCCTTCCCTCAGAGTTTCTTAAGTTGTAAGCAGAGTGACGCTGAGAGAAAAGACTTTGCAGATATTCTGGAGCAAGGTCATTCATGGTTTTATACATCTTTACGGCTTTTTGTTTCTTTCGTCGAAGAGATAGCCTCTCCCAGCTGAGGGTGGAGAGAAGGTGGTTTGAGCTCGCATCAAAGGGTGATTTAGTAATAACTCTGGCTGCACGATTCTGTAATTTTTGGAGCTTATCACTCAAGTAACCACTCAAACAGTCCCAGACGGGGCTGCAGTAATCAAAATGAGGCATAATTAAAGCGTTATAAATTTGAATTGCAGTTTCTTTGGATATAAAGGGCCGCACACGTTTTAGGGCGCCTATAGCTGAAGAGACTTTCTTGCAAATCTCTTCAACACGTTTTTACCCCAAGAGAGTTGAGCATCTATGATAAGACCCAAGGATTTGGTATGATCGACTCTCTTAATAATTTGGTCATCAATTCTGATTTCTACATCGTCACATTGGGCAGATAGTCTTTGTCTTGATCCAATAATCATTAGCTCTGTTTTAGCAACATTTAGACTGAGCTTGTTAGCTTTCAGCCAACAGCTAAGGTTATTTAATTCAGGGGTTAGAGCTAGCTTAAGCTCTGTTAACGTCTTAGCAGATAACGTAAGGTTGGTAACAGCAAGTGGTAACGTTGCGAGTATGCGCGAGCCGCTGGACGGAAGTTTGTGGTGGTATTGGTTCGCAGCGAATGCAGCAAAGAAAAATGGCGCCTCTTTTAAAAATTACCATCGTCTTACTCATCTGTTTTATCTTTGTGGAGTGCAGATAAGACAAAGTCTTCTTTGTAATATGCGAGATTGGTCTCAAGGCTAATAAGTCGCAGATCATTCACAATTTTGCGCGGTTTGTGGTCCATGAGTGATTATTGTTTCGTGTTTTGGCTTGCGCGCGGACACGTCGATGGGGTTCTGTGTAACAGCTGCAAAACTCCTCTTTTAAACACTGGATAATTGGGAAAAAATCTCTTCATGTAAGTTGTGACCGAGTACAAAACGTCCGACGCTTACGATTTGAATAAAACGCTGTGAAAAAAATTCTAAACGCTAGTCTGTTTATATAGTCATAACTGCAGTTCTTGCGACAATCCCCTTGCAATAATACGATTTCACGTCAGTTATGGTTCAGGAACGCCCTGTTTTTCAGAGATGTGCAACCTTAGTGCAGTGATTCTGCCAGTGATTACTTTTCAGAGATACCCCATCCTAACCACCAGTGGCCAAAGCAGGTGCAGTGCCCTAATTCTGCGACTGATAAAATTTCAAAGATATCCCACCCAGGGCTATGAAATTGTATGTTTCCTTTTTTGACTAGATGAAGACTCAAACTCAAGAAATGACATCTATTAAATCTATGTGACGCCTTAACTTATACAGGGGTGTAGTCAGAATTTTGTAATATGGAGGCTCTTGACTCCAACATGCCCCTTATACTTCTAAAATAAAGATTAGATGAGCCAAAAAAAGAGTGTGGTACAAGATGTTTCATATTACAGATGTGTTTTATTGAGGTAACCCTAACCATGAAAAATACTTCCCTTTACTCCCCACACTTCTACATTGTAAATATGCACACAGCAGGGAAAATACTTAAAATAGTAAAGATCATAGTCATATCTAAAACTGCATTTTCTCTCTGAGACATTGAAGTCAATTTTCTGCTTCTGATACTTCCATGCTTGCACTCATTTTTGCTTTTAATAAATTTTGTTGTTGGTTTTTTCTACTGCACATGTGTTAATTATTTAAGATATAACTAATAAGGCCTAGCTCCCTTGACTAGCCCATATCTGGGCTAAGATTAAAAAATTGAAAATGAGAGAAAATTAGCTCTAACTTTTCCTTTTCATTCAATTTCAACATGAGGAGACCTCAAGGATCTTAAAGCCTGATATTTATTAAGTCTGAGTTTATGGCAGCTTCAAGTGAGCCAATGTATGGCTCATTAAAATTAAAGCTTGTCTGTGTGTCTTCTGGGGCACCAAGGCTATTTGATGCAGTTCAGGATGGAGTGACAGACCTTTCACATTCTGCAGACAGCATAGGGTAAAATAAAAAACGGATAGTCGCCATTTTGTACCAGCTCTGCTATGGCTTGAGTGAAAAGTGTGACTGGTTTAAATGTGACGATGCAGTCGTCCTCAATGACTATCACCTGAATCAACAAGGTTTAGTGCTGAGCATCTCATAGGGAGCTCCTGCGACAGGAAAAAGGCAAAATCAATTTTTCATAACTTGTCATCTGCGACACCAGGAGCATCAATGAGCTTGTTTCAGGGGCAATTTTACATAAATTGCAACTTGTGCAGCCTATGATATATGATTATATACACTACTACAGTGTATACACAGCCAAACCGACATTGGCAAGCTAAGTGCTCCTAAATTCATGTGCACAAACACTGAATATATGAGACCCAGAGTATCAAAAGATCTATTTCTATCAGAGAGTGAAAAGTTACCCCTATGGCATTTAGTTTTTGCCCACAACTAGCGATACCACTTTAAATATTTCAGGATTTCTAAAGTGTCATGGATACGAATTTATATTCAAGAAGGAAAGAAATCTTTTGGATAGAAAAGGAATAATAACATTTATCATTTTTGTAAGCATACAAATACATTGTAGGTGATGAAGCTAATTCTTATGTGGATGCCAATGTAAGATATCAAATACAGGGATTTCATGTCCAGTGTTGTCTGTACTTCAAACAGGAATGGCAGTCCAGCAAGTGCAAAGGTGAACAAGGGCAAGAATTGTTTTGCACTTGAACTTGTGCTAGTGTCAAAGTGGGAGTAATATTAATGGTCATATGAAAATGCATTACATCACACTTATTAAATCACTTTTATAGTAGGGCAGGGAAAAGAATGCACATATGTGTATTTTCATATTTTATAATGATTTCAGTTATGTTTCAAGATATTATGTAAACATTTTAAGCATAACATTACAATTCTTTTAGGCGCCAGTTTTGTATGTATAAACAAATCATCATTGAATAATTATCAGAATAAAATCATCTTCCAAATGGTGAGGGTTCTTGTCAGTGAATCTGAGAGCTTACAGTGCATGATTATTAAAACGCAAATTCATCAGTGTTCCCCCTTGATGCAAAATCAAACATTCAAGAATGAAAGAGTGTTCCGAAACAATGCTCTTACAAATAAGTTTTGTTGGGATA